ATGATAAAATTAAAATAATTACCTTTATGTATACTGTAAAGTTTTGCTTCTTGTTTTTGGTTTTCCTCCTCTAATCAAATTTTCACTTTGGTTTTCAAGTTCAACTAACAATAAAAAAAAACGTAAAAAAACTCTTACATATAGATTTGGAAATCTAAAGATGATATATATTTGTTAAATTTGTACTATATAATGCTTTACTTTATCGGCTGCACCTTTTGGCATTTGTTTCGATTTGTGCAAAAAAAAAAAAAAAAAAAAAAAAAAAAAAAAAAAAAAAAAAAAAAAAAAAAAAAAAACTACTAGAGAACACAATTTTTTCATTTTATTGATTGTTTCTTCGTTTGTTTTTTCCATTACCTTTTGCCCCACTTTCCCCAATCAACCAAACAATCAACAACTAATCAAATGAAACGAACAAAACTTTCCACAAAAACCAACAACAACAAAAATGTATTACCCATGAATCGATTAATCGATAACACAACAGTCGGCTAACGAAGAGAGCTCCTCGGATCCGCAATTGGAGCGTCAAGTGGAGACAATTCGCAACCTAGTCGACTCCTACATGAAGATCGTCACAAAGACCACGCGGGACATGGTGCCCAAGGCAATTATGATGCTGATCATCAATAATGCCAAGGACTTTATCAATGGAGAGCTGTTGGCACATCTATATGCCTCCGGTGATCAGGTGTGTATATCATCTAGATAAATGTGAAGCTTCGAGAGATCAGTAGAACGGATCAATCAGACAATCAGCCAGTCAAGACATGCTGATCATTTCAATCATCTAATCTCGTTACTAATCTGGGTTTCGCTCTTGCCAGGCACAAATGATGGAAGAGTCCGCTGAGTCGGCAACACGACGCGAGGAAATGTTGCGCATGTATCGCGCCTGCAAGGATGCTTTGCAGATCATTGGTAAGTGATATAGATTCCCTAATTCCAGGCAAATTAATAGTTATATCGGATCATTAATCATGCTTCAATCACAGGTGACGTATCGATGGCAACCGTATCATCGCCATTGCCGCCGCCCGTGAAGAACGATTGGCTACCAAGTGGCTTGGAGAATCCGGGTCTCTCACCGCCCAGTCCCGGTGGACCACGCAAGCCCGCACCCACCGCACAGGTGAGCTCCGTCGTTAGTCAATCGGTCAATCTATCAATCAAACATTACATTCTGTTATTGCATTTTTCAGGGCTCGTTGGGTGGCCGTAATCCACCTTTGCCACCGGCAACGGGTCGTCCAGCGCCCGCTATTCCCAGCCGCCCAGGAGGCGGTGCCCCGCCCCTGCCTGGCGGCCGGCCTGGCGGCGCGCTGCCACCCCCATTGCTACCATCGTAAGTAGAGCACAATTAACTTGTGTATTTTATTGCTTTCAACTTGGCTTAGTGCGTCCTGTACAGTATATATGTATATATACAGTATTCCCAGTATTTATTTAGTTTTATTTACGTATTATTTCTTTGTTCGACGATTGGGACCTCTTTTTATATGCAGCCACACACATTACACAAACATACACACACACACATAAAAGCGCATACACATCAATATATATATTCATAACTTTTATATGTATATAACATATGTACAAATATATATACTAATGTGTATGCATACAAACAAAACGCTGCAAACGCTTTCAGTATTTTTGCTTTTGTTTTTAAATATTACTTTTGAATTATCATATTTTTGTGTTTATAACTAACAAACTTTGGCATTTCTTAGTATTAAATACTAAAAAAAAAACTGAACATTTATTCATCCCAGTAAATTCAATCATATTGGGAAATTTTCGTCACATACTCTTGTGGTTGGGATATTTAAGATTATCAGTGCCAAATGTTCAATAAACCCGCTCTTTCATGACATTCAAAAAGTACCTAATTTAATAAGGGGAATATTTTTTTTTTGTATAAAATCCCCTTTGACATTTATCTTCTACAAGAGATCATTTAGTATATGTATGTATGTTTAAAATTTTTCGTGTTTGGTTTTTTCTCTTTTTTTTTTTATTTTGGTCTTTGTCCTTAGAAGGCAGCTTGTCTACTTCTGAATATTCAACTAGTTCCAGTCTAAACATAGATCAGAGCTAATAGTAAAATTTGCGTATTAATAAATTAGCATAACCTGCAGTGCCAATATACATACATGCATGCATATATGTATGTATGTGTGTGTATATGTTTATCTCTTAGTCAACCATTTTGTGTTTGTTTTATTTGAGGGCAAGCTGCCAGATTTGGCAAATGAGATAATCCCTTCTTTATTTTTTCATTGATTTTGGTTTCTGCGCTGTTTACCCTTGTAAAAAAAAAAAACAAGAATTATTTTATGATGAAGAAAACCGACAAAACAAAAAAAAAAAAAAAACAAAGCAAAAATTAATAGACGATTTTCGAAAAGTAAAAAAAAAAGATATATAACAAAACCAAATTGTTTGTTTCTTCCTCTCTCTTTTTTCTCTCTCTTTCTCTCTCACATATTTGCAAATTTGCAAATCAAATGCGATAAACCAACAACAAATGTCAAACGAATAACTGTTAACTAACTCACACACCCACATAATTGCACTCGTAACACACAACGCTTACATGTCCAATGCTTCACTGTAAATTAAATGCTGCAGACGTCGCTAAGCTGTCAGCCACAGGCCCGCAGGCATTTACTCACTCACTCACACACACACACACACACACACATTAACTCTCTAGATCTCAAATTAAATAACCAACAAATTACCAAAATTAAAAAATACGCTTCAGCTTAAATCAACCTAAGAAACCAAACAAAGAGAAAAAACAACCAAAACCCAAATCATTGAGTTCAGGCTCAAGCGCTCAGCGTTCGCCCTTGCGCTCGCTCTCTTTAGCAAATGTGTTACAGCTATACACGAAAAAGTTCGCTCAGCAACCACTAAAACAATAATATTAACAACAACAGCAACAACAACAACGATGTCAACCGTTAAAGTTTATGTATGAAAAGGAAAAACATAATCTATTCGCATAT